ATATATATATATATATATATAATATATATATATATAATGCTTTCTTAGTCTTTGTTTACTATGGAATTAACTTATAGCCAATATAGGTTTATAATTATTGTTTAGCTCCTATTCTTATCTCCGTCAAATCTCTGGTATTGTATAAATGTCTGCGTCTGATTATGTAACCTGCAGCGTATGGAAAATCAACGAAATAAATATGATTAGCTGCATAGACTAGGCCTATGCCAGCTAAATGAAAACACAACAGCGTAAAGTAAGGTATAAATTCAAATTCACATTCACAAGTACAGGTCTAGAAAAAAAAGAATATAGGCCTATATTTTACCTGTAATTCTGGTATGAATTTTGCAAGAACGCGTATTGGGCCTTCCATGTTTGTGACGTTGGCTACTGGAGCTAGAGCTACAAATACGTTAATCTGTAAAAGAAAAAATGTATACAAATTTTGAAAATATTAGTAATAATTATAAAATTTATAATAATACCGGTAAATAATAACAGGACCCTAATGATAAAATTAATGATGATGATGATTATGGCACACCTGAAAATTATAAAGTCCTGAGGCGCCGTTCCCCCTCGCTCCCTCTTTCCCCACGCCCACCCCATCCTATATCTGCATATTTCTGGATTCGCTACCGGTTGTGCAGCCTAAATGATAACCAGAAATCTTATATTCAAATTCTACCAAGTATAATAATTGATAGGCAATCGATAGGCCTAATACATTTTTTTTGTCCAAGGACACAAGTAATGTGAACTCACGACTTGTCCACACTGCAGTAAAATTTAACAAAAATTTATTAAAATATTCACAACTTTAGATTGGTAGTTAGCAGTTTTTTCCTGCTAAGCTGGGCATCCACTGCACCCGACAGTCGTCGGCCTGTATCCTATAAAGAACCATAGAGATATAATAAGAATACTAGAGCGCTAACAGCAATGTATTCGATGTTCGAAATACGCACAACTGTGTGGGTACCATCCAAGATGGCTGCCATAGATTCAGCAAATCAAATTTCCCCTGAGCACTATCATTTTCAATTGCGCCCTCAAATTACACAGAAAGTTCAGTACAGCTCATAGAGCTATTAAACAACTAGAGTGCTGACAAGATGGCGGAACAATGCAGAGTTGTGTATGTGTACCATCCAAGATGGCCGCCGTAGCAAAGCGCCACCTTCAGGCTTAGTATGCATATTATTACCATAAATAAGCCCTCTGACTGAATATTATTTCATTAATGATAATTAGTATTGATAATGACAAATTATTAAACTGTCGTAGCCAAAACGAGGCCAAGAGGAGCATCTTATTTAAAAAAAAATACCAAGGAATGAAAATTAAAACCGTGTGCATTACACCCAAACACCGCAACGCTCGAGTTTCAAACATAGCTGTACTGAACTTTCTGTGTAAATTGAGGGCGCCATTGAAAATGATAGTGCT